ATGCTAAACAAAAGGGCAACGAGAGTTCGTGAATTCACCAAGGACGCGATTTCTATTTATACAACTGGTGTTACGGTAAGTCTCGTGAAACAAAGTATCTTTGATCGTTTACATAAGTGCAAGATGCAATCTAGCCGTTCGCTACTAGACAAAGAGAATCGCATGACGGATCAGCGAGACGTCCCAAGGAGACAACTTTCCGATTAGCCTCTCCCACCTATCCGGATTATCGCCACTATTCGTCGCGGAGTTGCAGTGAGGTCTTATCATCGTTACGCTACGTGGACCTCACGCTGAAGAAATTACGCGCGTGAATCATGCAAGGTTCGCCGAAAAAGCGAAAGCAGGGGCTGGTTATCAAGAAATTCTAATTTCACTCGGTAGAGGTAATTGGAGAAGAGGTTCGTGCACCTTGGTTTCATTCCTTATACAGTGATTATACCGCGATTAAACCTCTTTTTGCTTTTGGATTGTTTAGGTAGATGCACCAGGGTATATCGAAACGTTATTATCTATATTAAGAAATAATTGAGCCGTTCAGTGGGAAAATCGATTAACTCTATCAGTCGCATAAAAATTGTAAAATTACCGACGATTATTTTTTGATCATTCTTTCTTGTTAATTTTATATACCGTTAGATAGAAGTCTACATCTATATTTATGCATTGTACACTATTTAATTGAATTTATATTATAAAGGGAATTTTAAAAGACAATGTACATCGCAATTTCTCGACTTTTTGTTTCATGGAGTTAATCGATTTGTGCAATGAACGTCTCAATTAGAGCATGGATCCATGGACAATTCTAATAAAATGGGAATTTTATTGTAGATATTAGTTTGAAGTTTTTTATCATTTTTGAAAAGTTGAATTGTATTGTATTTTATTGTAAAGAAGGATAAACAGTTTACTCCTATATTTTCGCGAATAAAACTAAAAAGTTTCCTTCCACATTTTTGAAATAAGAAAATGTAGAAGATAATACAACCCAGGTTAAGTATCAATCAAACCTGAATTAATTTTTGTTGCAAGTGTTTTCCCAACGATTAGCTTTTCTCTCAAACGCAAGACTTTCATGTCCAATTTCACTTGTATCTAAAAGTCTCTATACTTTCTACTAATCGATAAGATGCAGCGAACGGGAATCGTATGCTAATATTTACCTGAATGTTATTTTCCAAACTACGCTTTGATATATCCTAAACATATACACACTCGAATTAGCGCCGACTATATATTCAAGAAGCATAGACCCGTATTAGCACCCACGGAACATTCAAGATGTATATTAGCACCCATCGCATATTCAATCCACACATATACGAATATTAACACTCGTCACACGTTTGAGACACATACACACATATTAACACCCGTTACACGCATCAGACACGCGTGTACAATATTTAGATGTGACATATTTAGTACACAGGGTATATTCTAGTAACTGAGCCAGGCCTTTGTTTCGAGACAAGTCCAAATTGAACAGAAAAGAATTTGGTATGCTTCAATGACCCCTGTTATCCTTTGATACGATCTTCTACCTTGGTGCATCGAATGCATTTTGCAAGTGCATCTAATGCAACTTGCAAAATATCGTAATTCATTTATACATACAGCATAGATTGAAATAGAATTAATTGAATTACTAGTATAAAATTCCATTCTTCAAATCAATTCTATTATGCTTTATTAAATATCGTAATTTATTTATACGTATATACAGCATGCAATGAAATAACATTGTATATGTATTTTATATTATATTAAATATAAAATTGTATACATATTATGTATAATTATAATTTCATGTAAATTATATTTGATTACATGCTGTATAATACTGATCAATGAATTACCACATTTTATTTTATTTTATTGTTAAATATACAAATATATGTTTATATATTATTTCATCATAATTAGTGTTTTATACATATAGGTATGTCTATGGGACTCTGTTACTATAATCTTATTACAAAAGAATTATTATAGAATCGTTTTATCTATGGAATATGATATAGAATGATTCTACGTATTTCAATCTATGCTGTACGTATAAATGAATTACGATATTTTATTGTACTTTATCGCAAAACAAGCAATCAATTTACTAAAAAAAAAAAAAAAAAAAATGAATAAATAAATAATTCTTCACGCCTTCGCCTACGAGCTTGCCATGCAACGAAATTCGAACATCTTCGGGTCATAATAATGCCGAGAAAATAAAAAATAAAATACGTAAAAAAGGTGGGAAAGACTGAGGGAATATTAAAGGAGACAAATGACAGTGACGCGGCACAATTCACGCCATGGGAGAAACTGGAAACCGTAGTCCGACGCGCGAGGTCGCGATAAGACAAGGAAATAATCGCTACCGACGCCCAGGGATTAATCGATGGAGCCAGATGAAACATATCGCGTCGACGATGGAAGCTGACTCATGTCGCGTCTTTCAGGAATACATAAAGATAGAGCGGAAAGCATCGCGAGAGCTACGTGAACTTGGCACCCGATTTTTCAAAAATTAATTTTTTTTTATAGAAAACGATAGTATTTCGTTAGTACCTGATTGTACCTCCGATAGTTTAGTTTGTACTTCCACCAATTAATAATTAAAAAGAATGCAAAAAATGGTCGGCACCCGACATTGAGATTTTTGAATTCTGATTTTCCCAATTCTTTAGAATCGTTAGTACCCGTTTGTACCGCTTTTCGTTTCGTTGGTACCTCGATAGTTTAAATTTTCTAAGCAATTGTTTATACGCGTAAGAGTGAAGATCGTTAATTTTCAAGATTTTTAAAATCTCTTTTTTCCCGATTCATTAGAATCATTTGTACCCGCCGGAACCGCTTTTCTTTTCGTTTCTACCTCAATACTCTTACGCGGATCAACAATTGCTTGTAAAATTTAAACTATCGAGGGATTAACGAAACGAAAAGCGGTACAAACGGGTACTAACATTTCTAAAGAATCGGGAAAAACAGAATTCAAAAATCTCAATGTCGGGTGCCGACCATTTTTTGCATTCTTTTTAATTATTAATTGGTGAAAGTACAAACGAAACGAAATACTATTGTTTTCTATACGAAAAAAATTAATTTTTGAGAAGTCGGATGCCAAATTCACATAGCTCATCGCGAGATCTATATCGCTATCCAATCTGGCAATTTTTCAATCTTCAACCGATTTTCCAGACAACGTTTATTATCAAGTACTATTGTCATTATTCTCAATATGATGTAGAAAATGATTTTTAATGCTATTTTAGCGTTATTTTTTGTTAAATATCATTAAATACTATTCCCATTATTATTATCTCAAAAATAATATGTATAAATTCTAATATATAATAATCGTCAATAAAAATAAATGAAATAAACAGCGATTTCATAGAATTCAATTTCGAAAAACGAATCGATTCTGTCGGAATATATCCTTTATCGGAATGGAACACCTTTAGTCGCGAGACGTGTGTATCGTTATCTAACTTGACCTGCATACAGAATCCTTCATCGAAGAATGACGTCTAAGAGTCGTTACGTGAACGATGAATGGAGCATGGCATATAATAGACACGATGTTACACGTGAAGCAGTAAATAAAATTTTATAGAAGGCGCCACGATGACTATTCGAATTTTTCGTTGAATCTTTTAACGAATCTCTTTTTCTTATAGAGAAAGAAATTCGATAAATTTCTGTAATTCTTGAACTATTTAATACTAAATTTTAATTTCGAATTTTAATTTCGAATTTTATTTTCGTAAAATTGTTTAATTCATTAATTCTACATTTTTATTTCATAAAATTCTTTATATTCTTCAATTGGCAATTTTAATTACGTTAAATTTTTTACCGATTTTCTTTCTCCTTTCGTTAAAATTCTTTGACGAATTTCTTTTCCTTTTTGGTCGAAATTCTTTCTTTTATTTCACAGCCCTAATTTATGCGAAAGAGAAGAAAGGTTTTACACCTATTCAAAATCAACATTGAAAGTGACGTTAAATTTAAGAATGTTCGAAAGTGGCCCAAACTCTGGCCCGTTCCAGATTAAAGGCAATGGTAGTCAAGACAAGTTGCTCAATTTTGTGCACGGCAACGTAAATCGACTGACGGGAATTTTTCTCGAACCGTATCACCTTGTGCTACTCAATATTCTCGCGGTTGAATTCAAAACAAGTCGCATAAGAAACTCATTAAGCGAGGAATCTTTTATGAAAACGCTTTGAAATTAACATTGACCTATTTTCTAATTAACTGGCACTAGTCGTTTAATAAACGTAGATGTAAAATAATTTTTTAAGGAATAATGAGAGTTATTTTAAGAATAAATGAAAATTCATGAGATTGAATGGAGATATTTTAAAATCTCTCATTCCAGTACAGTAACTCATACTAACTTAACACGTGAATATGTTTTTGCACAATTAGAATGATTCGAAACATTCAAATTCGATTTCTAGGAGATCATAATTTAATTAGTTAGTATTACTTTTAGTGAAGATAATTACGTATTTATCATATATGAATTTTTCATCCAAGTCTAACAACTGTAGGAATGTGTTTTAACACGTTGATTGTCACGAATAATACTTGTAAAAATCTCTACGTAATTAAAATTTTGTTTCGAGACAATTGAAAACTACGTAATCTAGCATTTGTCATAGCATAATTTATTTTTTTTTCACCGTATTCGCTAATTCTATTCAGATTTATTTTCTTCGGTAACACGACTTTAAAATTAATTTGATTAGTTCCTTAGTAATAGATAACATGACGTGGCGATCAACGTGTTAAACAAGCTCTTTCTTCATTTTTTCTTTCAATAACTTCCTCGAACTTCATCGAGTCTCAAGTCTCGTGCATACATAACCCACCACTGTCCGTGACCCGTATCAGAGTCACAGCGAGAGTTCAGACACTGAACGCGTTAACAAATCGAATAATCTATTCAATGAGCAACGCGTTCATTCTAGAGTGATTTCTAGACTTACCTCTTCAGATACGGGGATGTTGTTCTTGTTCCGGGTGGTGTTGGACGTATAAATGGAGGAAAGCGTGGTGAGGGTTGCGGTACCGACACCGCCGACCGTCTTTCCGTTGACCTTGGTACCAGCACCACCGACATCTTTGTGCAGCGTTCCAGGACTCTGAAATCAAGATATCGACTCGTTAGAACACTGCCAGAGGCGACTTTTTCAATGATAACGATATAGCGTCGTTCAACCACGAATTAAATTCGAGGCTGAAGGACCAGGTTCATTTTAGAAAAATTAACCTTGAGAAAATACAAACATATATATAAGGCGTCTCCTCCACCCTGAACGCTCGCCAGATGGGTACTATTTAAAAAAATGAATTAATTACAAAATTAATCAAGTAATCGCAAAAATCCATTGCTATTCTTCAGATAATGTATCTAAAAGTAGCGTGTACAAATTTCAGAGCAATCGGACAGCACGTTTACTTTCTTTTGGGATTATCTCGAAACTACGAAATTACGAAATTACTATGATTTTACGAAATAGTACAACGTAAATCTCGCAAACTATCGGTTCGATCGCTCTGAAAGTTGTACACACTACGTTTAGATACATTATCTGAAGAGTAGCAATTGATTTTTGGGATTACTTGATTAGTCTTTTTTTTATTGACGATTTTTCTCGTGAAATTTCGGTGAAAAGTAAAAAAAAATTTCTTCGGCTCACCATAATTTTCTTAAAGGTAAAAAAAAAAAAAAAACATCCAATTGCTACTCTCTTGCGACAAACTCCAGAAACAAACTAATATTTTCTTTTTTTTTTTCGAATGCAACCTAAAGAATATAATGATGAGAGCCCACGCGCGTTTCGTGCCGAAGGCCTTCACCAAAATTTTCGAACCGCCGCCACTTTTTTTTTGTTATCTCAAAAAATTTTTCATGTGTTCATTAAACCGTTTTTTAGTATGTGTCAAAACATAAAAATATTTTTTTCTATACTTTCGCATTTATGAATTTTTTAAGAATAGTACCATCTGGCGAGCGCTCAGGGTGGCCAGACGCCTTAATACTTAAGAATCTAATAGACCTTAGGTTAATATGCTCGGCTGTTCAGATCTCGTGTCGAAAAGTATCACGGCTTTTAAATTAAATACAAATCTGAAACCGTGAATAAACAATTTTTACTTTAGTTGCTCTCATGTACGTTTCATCTAATAGAAGTTAATGGGAAATATTAATGAAAAAATATGAGAAATAACACAAATGAGAATTACAATATGGGTATAGTAGAGAAAAAGAAATTAATTAATTTTTACTTCGACGATCATTTTTAAACATATGTTTTTCAGGGCATCATGGAATCTGTGTGAAGCTAGCAGCTCAGTTTTGCTGAAAGCTCATAAAGAATTAAGAATTTTTACTTCGTTTTCAATAGTTTTCTAGCTCCTGATCAATTAAACTAATAGTTCTATCAATTAGAATTATTGGATAATTTGTTAAACAATTTTATAATGTGATTCTGTTCCATTAAGTTCTGATAAAGCTAAAAGATATCTTGGATAAATTTTAGTATGCTAAAAATAGTTCAGAAGAGTTCTATTAATTAGAGCTATTGAATAATTTATTCAATAATTTTAATCTGCGGTGAAAAGTTATCTAATAATTGATAGATATTAGTTTCATTGACCAGGAACTATGGAACTATTGAAAATGAAGTCTTATTTATAAGCTTTGCAAGGTAAACCGCCAGCTTCACCCAACCCATAATAAGTGAATCTCTATTCTGGACTGTACGCAAATTAAATTCGATCTCTATATTGTAGGCTCAGTGTAAAATTCTTGACGAAACTGTTCGAACTATTATAAAAACAACGGAAGGAAGTTTGAAGCGTGACCGCGCCACCTCGTACTTGTAAACATTCAATTAAGTACAGATGCGCGATTGTGATTCTTGGAATTCGCGATCATAACAAATCGGTAATAACGCGCCTGAATTCGACACAGGTTTTGTAAACGACCTTTGTTATTCGAACGGTTAGTGGGAAGTAATATAGCAAACATGTACAAAATTTAGGCAGAGAAAATTTCAGAAAATAATATAATACTGCGTATTATATTTGTTTCGAATGGATATACTTGAAGAGTAATGCTAGATAAAAAAATACTTTAGTTTATTGGAATGTAATCGTATAATAAATTTCTATGAACAATTGGAATAATCAAACATATTTCATTATTTAATACTAAGTTTACGGAGATTTCTAACCAGATTTCTATAACCAAAGTAATGCTTTAATAAATGAAGTCTATTTACTAAAATTAATTAGGAGGCTTGAACAAAGATGAATTTGGATACATGCTCGTCCTTTTATGTGTATAAAAGTCAGCATAACTGGTTGGATTTGGAAAAACGAACGGATTTTGTAAAATCTTGTGAAACTTGGAATGAGCCAAAATGATTGTGCTCCCTAAACTTAGTGTTAAATGCGTTGTTAATTTTACTAATGAATTATTGAAATACTGTAACCGATATCCGTAAAAAATTTCTTTGAATAATTCAAATAATGAAATATATACTTTTAATAATGATCCAAAACCTCATGGCAAATTATTATTATTTGAAAGTGTTGTTAATTTTACCTAATGAATTGTTGAAATACTGTAACCGATATCCGTAAAAAATTTCTTTGAATAATTCAAATAATGAAATATATATTTCTAATAATGATCCAAAACCTCATGGCGAATTATTATTATTTGAAAGTGTTGTTAATTTTACCTAATGAATTATTGAAATACTGTAACCGATATTCGTAAAAAATTTCTTTGAATAATTCAAATAATGAAATATATATTTCTAATAATGATCCAAAACCTCATGGCAAATTATTATTATTTGAAAGTGTTGTTAATTTTACCTAATGAATTATTGAAATACTGTAACCGATATTCGTAAAAAATTTCTTTGAATAATTCAAATAATGAAATATGTACTTCTAATAATGATCCAAAACCTCATAGCGAATTATTATTATTTGAAAGTGTTGTTAATTTTACCTAACGAATTATTGAATTACCTATGTTTCGGAAGGGCGTACTTCAAGGACGACGATTAATCACTGGATCGCGACCCGCAACGTGACGCGACACGATCGCGACGTTATCGCGACTCAGACGAGAATGATTGAACGATACCCCCTCTTACTTCAGTCAGGCCCTTCTTTTGGGTTTTTCCCCACCAACTCGGTTTAGTTCGGGAACCTTCGTGGCTACGAATTTTCCGAAGGAAAATCTACGCGACTCGTGATCCTTCCCCCTCTCCGAATTTTTTGATTTTGGACAGATTACTCGCCTCGATACGAAATCTTTATTGAATAATAATAATAGTAGTATTTTACAGATTCATTTTAAATGATTACTTCATAAAGAAGTTTTAACTGTTATTATACTCTGCAAGTTAGCTTTAGTTGATTTTGTTTTGGAGGTTTGTAATACATGTTAAATGCTTTTATGATTTGTAAACGATATAACGTACTCTAAAGTTCTTTCTTATGTAAAAATTACAAGGAATATATTATCTATTTATCTTTATACTCTATAGTACATCTATACATACATGATTACTAATCATATTCCTTATCTTAAATGTAATCATACTTCTTTAACAGGATGGTACTGTTTGAACCTAATGTAAATTTACACGTCAATCTAATATCGCTTAACAACATCTAACAAAGGATGGATTTTCAACACAATATAGACTGATACCTAACAAACCAACAATTCGATTCAATGTTTGAAAAATAATATCAATTTATACTTGAAGTTAATGTTATGTTTAACATATGTTACTTTTTATATTAATATACGTCACAAATGCAAGTGATCTTCACTCTACCGATAATTATATGTAAATAGGTGTAATGTACGATGCCCTTTCGTCCGTTTACGTTAAAGTTAATGACTTAATTAGATTAGTTTATCGCGCACTGACGTTGGTAGAGAGAACTGCAGAAATTATCGTTGTTTATTCAACCATGTACACATTGAATACTGATATAACAAAATATACTTAACGAAATACGATATCGTTCGATGATTGAAGCGAAATCGAACGAAGTCGAACGTGCAAAGCGTGGTCTGATGTCTCTGTGTCAAGACCAAGCGTGGGTGTTAAGAAGCTGATTAGCTTTCTTCATGCGAAATGATTATTGAGACTTGAAAAAAGGTGTGCACTATGGCTCGTAAAGGAGACACTTCTGAATGTGTTCAACTACAAATGTTTCACAAACGAGTTTAATCAACAATAATTATTTCTCAAGTTTGGGAACATTACTTTCTCAAAAAACATTGGAATAATAATCTGAAACTTCCAGTTCCCATCCTTTCACCCTCCTAAAAAATCTAAACAAATTCTAACTCACTACTGTATCATACAATAGTCATACAAACTCACTGCATCATACAAACTCATAATCTCCGAATTCAGAGTATTCTCCTAAGATCTCATAATTCGATCGTGAAATTTCATTCCTCAAAAAACAACCGAATGGCAAATGGCGGTTTAAATGAAAAAATCAATCAATGGGAAGCTCTTGGAAGGCCCTCCTACGCGGGAGACAGAGACTAAAGCTTCATTAGCTTCATGGTAAATCGGTGGTTCGCATCCGTGCACGTGTGCACTCGCGTTAGCACAGATACGAGAGTCGCATCCAAAACCACCCACGTCATCTCTTTGTCTTCTATTACTAAATCACTCGTTTAGTTTGCCGCGACAAGGCGCAAACGAGTCGGCGTACAAGCTGGAAGTGGCTTCGGGTCCTTAATTAACAGAAGCAAGCCCGTTTACGGTAAACGCCACAACTCGGCATTAAACCGTATGATATATGAGCGCGTTAATTGATGAGAAGTGAATGGAACACGCTGGATCAACGCAAATGTCACGGGGACCGTTCTTGTTTGACTGATAGAACGCTGCTGGGATGGCAACAAACAATGGTTGAGTAACTTGGATAATGTAGGGGAGATCTTGAAGAGTAGGTTGGAATTTTTTTCAGAATTTTTGAAAGCCTATAACTAGGCGAAAAAAGTTGGTTTGAATATAACGATCCCAGGTGGACGAGGAAGAATGATCGTATCGAAGCTTGGAAAATTTTTGTTTATAAAGAT